TAAAAATAAAACAGATGATACTGCTCAAAAGTACCAAGATATTCGTCGTAGAATGAGGAATACCAAATCCATTTTATGACTTTATGACTTTCTCTCATCAAATCCCAGCACATGATTCACTACAAAACAAGAATGAAATAAAATATTTCATCTCGTACACCGAAGTTGGACCAATTATCAGGAATTTAAAAAATAAAATTTCTTATGGTCTTGACAAAATCCCATCAATAGTCATCAAAAATTTACCACAATCAATAATTACCGAATATACAATTATTTTTAATAATGCTATAAATCACGCATACTATCAAAACAGATGGAAACAAGCAAAAGTTCTACCGATTTTGAAAAAAGGGAAAAATCCAGAAGAACCTCAAAGACCTATCAGTCTGATACAATGAATATAAGTAAAAATTTTCGAAAAAATTATCAAGAAAAACATCATAGGTCACATTAATACTGATAACATCATTCCGAATAATCAATTTGGATTTAAATCTCATTTATCCACTACACACGTTATACACAAATTAACCTTAGACCTGAACAATTATTTACATAAGGAATACACCATCGGTGCTGTACTGTTGGACTTAGAAAAAGCGTTCGACTCCATATAGAAAAACGGACTGATACATAAACTAGAAGATTATCAATTTCCCGTGGATTTAACTCTATTGATTGCTAACATCAGGGGAAGACATTTCGCACGTGGGACGGCACCAATCTCTCAGTCCTTTAAAATAACAGAAGTCCTTTAAAATAACAGAAGTCTCGAAGTCCTTTAAAATAACAGAAGGGTTATAGCAAGGAACCGTCACATCACCAATCCTTTTTAACATATTCAACAGTGAACTAATCAACAAGTTTGGAATGAACAATTCTAATAAATTACACTTAATCACTTATGTTTTAATAATCTATAAAGTAGATACGGACATAGATAAAATCAGAGACACATTGCAAGCAGTTATCAACGATATAAATATTTATTTCAAAAACTTATAGTCATTATACAAATCAATCCAAGCAAAAGCAGCGAAGTAATTTTTTTCAAAAGACCAGTTAAACAAATCAAATAATCGGTTGTTAAAAAAATAAATAGTATAAAATTAACAGCGATAGATATTCACACCAACGAATTAACTGAGATACCAAAGAAACGCATCGTGAAATATTTGGGAATTTATCTAGATCATCTGCCAAGACCGAACAAATACTACTTATTTCAATTAGACAAAGCAAAAAAAACTTTCAAGCTGAACTCGAAAATATTTTACAATAAAAATCTTGCTACTAAAGCCAAAATAATATGCTATGGACTATTGATGAGATCTATTCTAACTTACGCAGCTCCTGTATTATGGAATACAGGTCTAATAATAATCAAAAAAATAAGAAGATTTGAGAGATCTTGCTTGAGATCATGCCTAAGGACGCATATAACCGCTGAATCTGATTATAAAAGGAGAATTAAAAATGAGACCATTTTAATTTTGAGTAAATTAAATATAGGCTACATTCCACCGAAACTAGTTATTTATTGTGACAAACATCGTCTAATTTAAGACCACAATAATATTCCACTAATCTATCACCGTCGCAGACACTCACGCAAAAAAACAAATCAATTGTAATCATGCTGAAGATATTCAAGAGAACCACATTTTCTTGAAAGCACTACTAAATAGTGGTGTAAAGGATACTAACAGACTATGTAAAAAATACTACTAGCTACAGAGAAGATCCTAAATACATGGACGACCTGCGCCGAAGAACTAGATTTAAATAATACTAAATACTTATGACAGATTAATAGTATTCATAATACAAGATAGGATATATTTACTACTTTAAAAAGAAACACATAAAAGTTTGATAGAGACTTATAACGTATAGTTTAGTTGTACATAATGTATATATGTTCCCATTAATTACAATTCTAATTTATTGAGTGCTATGAAGATTTATCTACAGATAACTTATAGCTGTATTTATAATAAAATAATATAAAAAGTCTTCCAAGTGAGATTATACTTGTGTACCTAATATAGGGTTGTGTCAAATAAACTTATTTTTAAAAACAACAAAAAAAGAAAAACCAACGAACCATTTAAAACACATATTTAATTTATTTATTTCTATTTTTTATCACATAAATTATTTATACCTTACCGATAAAGATAAAAATAAAAATAAAAAGAGGATATATTTACTTTAATAAGTAAATATTACTCATATAGGTAAATATTACTCATCATTCGATAAGGAAAAAAGTTTGATTTCAGTTTAATCAATTAACTTTGTATTTGAATCATAATATATTATCTACAAATAATATCGGATATTCAAATTTATTTCAATTCTACAGGGTGAACCAAAATTTTTATAAATCGGTCAAAAGTTTTTGGATAATTTTAAAAATCAATTAATCTTTTTCGAAAAGTTTTTAGATCAATCCTTTTTTTCTGATTGTTAAAAATCCGACTTGTAATTGTACAAATTAGAAAAAAAATCTTCATAATTTATTGAAATGCAAATTACAATGTACAAGAATGATTTAATAATGTTATCAAATGTATGTATGCAAATTATAAATAATTGTATAACGTCTTAATACATTATTTATCATAGTGTATTTAATATACAAATTCTATTTATTTGAGTGATATTTTTATTAATTAATTAATGTTCAGCGTAGGTATTTAAATATTTTGATTATATTGATTATATTTTGTTTATAATGAAATACATGTACATAATATAATTGATCAGTATAAATAATTAAGTATTATGATTGCGTTTGGATTTATTATAAATATCGATCATTTATTTGAAATACTGACAAATTATTATATTTAGAAATATATTATTTAAAGTATTAACTGTTTCTGTATTAATTGATGTCGATCGCTTACATTACAGTTAATGATTATTTATTATAATGTTCCATTCATTATTTAAAATACTTATTTAAAATTTTAATATAACTATCTTGATCTGGCCCGATAGCAGTTTCTAATATAACATATATTATTTTTGATAATTTTACGAGGATAAATGTAAATATTTTTAACATATTTATTACACATGAATTATTTATACTTTATCGATAATGATACAAATGAGAAAAGGAAATTCTTACTGAGATAAATAAATACATATAGATAAATGTTATTCAAAATTCAATAAGGAAAAAAATTTAGTTTCAGTTTAATCTAAAAAAGAAATATTCTTTACGAACTTTTCAATATTTTGCCGACAAAAACTACTTAAAGGTTTTTAAGAATCGAAATATAATCGAATTATTATAAAATATGTACAAAAGTATCTAAATCAGTGATCTAAAAAAAAATATATATATATATATATATATATATATATATGTATATGTATGAAAAAGTTAATATAGTTGATATATTCATACTAAAAAACTAATAAGAGATCCATTCAAGTTAATTCAAAGAAGATTAAATCAAATAGTCTACTATACGATTCTATTTATTCAAATCAGTTTTATTTACGAAAAAACAATACGAACAGGTCTACATATATATGTACGTTCCATTAGAATCATTCATGTATGTTAAACATCAAGAGTTTCATTCTGAATAAAAATAAAATATCCATAAGAAGGAGACCCATAATATTATCATAAATGAATAAAAAATATATACATACAAAATGGAAAAAAAATATATACATACATACGATACAACATACACTACAGAGCTAAATAATATAGATTTAATAGAAGTATCTTCAAATATACGCTAATAGATTTGAAAAATTACGATATATATAATTTTTATTCAAATTTCATTCTCTTATTCAACTTCCCGCTCTTTTAATTTTTCTTCCTGGCCAGCTGAATGCATATAGCAAAGTTTATTTAAAACAAACAAAAAAAAAACGCGTATAAATGTTGAAAAACGATTACTAATTACTAATAAATCAATTCTTATTTTTTTTTATTTAAACATATGGTGAATTGTGATACTTAGATAGTACCGCTTAACGTTGTCAAATGTTAAAAAACATTTACATACACGCAACACACATATATACACGTATAAACATAAAACATGCAAACAGGAACAATCAAGTTTAAATATATATATTTATTTAACAAATTAATAATGTAGTTGTAATATAAATAATATATTGTTAAGAGCTGAATAATTTTATTTCAAATAAATATTGAAAAAGAAATCATTCATTTGTCATTTGTTTAAACAGTGTTTGTGGTATTAAAAGAATACAATATTTAAACTGTATTGTATCATTAAGAATCAAGATGGGGGCGTAGCTCAGATGGTAGAGCGCTCGCTTAGCATGCGAGAGGTACCGGGATCGATGCCCGGCGCCTCCATAATAACTTTGTTAATTTTTTTTTATATCTATTTTGTAAAAATAGAAAGTAATTTAAAAAGAAATTAAATTTAATTTTTACGAAAAAATTTATTTATTTGTCCTACTTATTTATTTTTCCTACTTATAGTGATTTCACTCGAGTTCGATTCATTTATGTATAAATTATAAACAATTAATGTTAACAATGAAATGAATATTTTAAATGTTTTTATCATTTTCATAATAGACTTATGTACGATACATAGTTATATATAAATAAAAAGTAAAATAATAATATATAATAAAAAAACAAACAATTAAAAATATGTTAATTATTAGTATTAGTATATCGTAGGCACCATCGGCGCCGTGGCTTAGTTGGTTAAAGCGCCTGTCTAGTAAACAGGAGATCGAGGGTTCGAATCCCTCCGGGGCCTTGTAAATTAAAAATTTCTTTTTTCAATTCATAATTTTTTTTCAATTTTTAATAAACTTATTAAAGAAAATGTATCTTCTTTTTATGGATATTTTATTAGAAAAAAGTATTTTTTTTATCGCTCACGTATATACGTACAATATTATACATTTATGTCTTACATAGGTTAATATTCAACTAGTATATTTATAGGTTATTACGACTTCTTAGATTGGCAGTACTGTCGGAAACTATTCTGAAGATTTCTGTATCATCCTTAGAAAAGGAAAGGAGGTTGACGGCTGTTTATGATAAGTTTTTTTTTATATTGAGAAGAAATTCATATATTGTGTTCGTGCATGGGAAAAAAAAAATTTCATTCTGCAATTATCTGTATAGATAGATTTGTAATATCCTAGAAATAATGTCTTATAAAAATTGAATCATCGTCATTTTAGTATTGACCGCACCCCGCTGACGTTTTTCCTTAAATTGTACGGATATATTGTATTATATTATATTTATTACTTATATCAACTTATATATAGATAAATATATATATATATATATACATATATAGTATTAGAAAAAAATGACAGTGGTGCATAATCTGGGTGTTGATGTTATAAGTTATCATGCTTGGAACAAAGACAGAACAGGTATGTCTAGATAATACTTTAGATATAGATTAGATCACTATTAAATTATTTTTTTTTACAGAAGTAGCAGTATGTCCAAATAATAATGAAATTCAAATTTACAAGCATTCCTCTTCGGGATGGAAATTACTTGATACATTACAAGAACACGATATGCATATTATGGGCGTAGATTGGGCACCTCGTACTAATCGTATTGTTACCTGTTCAGCAGATAAAAATGCATACGTTTGGACACAAGGAAAAGATGGAAAGTGGAATCCTGCATGGGTTTTATTAAGAATAAATCGGGCTGCCACGTGTGTAAAGTGGTCTCCTTTAGGTAAATTATTATGTTAGCAATTGTCTATCTCTAAAGATAACAGATTTTTTAATCTACTTTTGTGATAAATCTTCTTCTTCTTACAGAAAATAAATTTGCTGTTGGTTCTGGAGGCAGGGTAATAGCAGTTTGTTACTTTGTATCAGAAAATAATTGGTGGCTTTGTAAACACATAAAGCGTCCTTTAAGATCAACGGTAACAACAGTTGATTGGCATCCAGATAATAAAGTTTTGGTTGCTGGATCAACGGATTATAAAGTTCGAGTATTCAGTGCTTTTATTAGTGATATGGAAGATGCACCAGGAACGTGTGCTTGGGGAACAAGTAATACATTGGGCACATTACTTGCTGAATTCCCTAATACAAATAATGGAGGTATTTTTGCTAACAGAATTATTGATAACTAACTTAAAATACTTGTTGCTTTTACATAGATGTTGCATTTTTGTTAGGTGGTTGGATACATTCGGTTGCATTTAGCCAATGTGGCAATAAAATTTGCTGGGTAGCACATAATTCGTCTATATGCGTCGCAGACGCTACAAGGGGCAATATAGTTTATAGGCTTTATACCGAACATTTACCATTTTTAAGCTGCATTTGGGTGGGTCCCAATTCCATTGTGGCCACGGTAATCCAGTCAAAACAAAAATGTGAACAACATTATATTATAATAACACAGATTAGAAATGATACATTTTTTCCTTAGGGACACAGTTGTATGCCCATGTTATATTCTGTGGATGACAATGGACAGATTTACTTTGTATCAAAATTAGATAACATGCAAAAAAAAGAAACCGCTGGATTGTCTGCCATGAGAAAATTCCAATCCTTAGATCGTCAAGCACGAAATGATTCCAATGACAATGCATTAGATAGCATTCATCAAAATACAATTAACTGTGTTCGTCAAGTATCGGATAATGAATTTAGTACAAGTAGCCTAGATGGCCAATTGGTCATTTGGGATTTGAAGGTATCATATAATATTTCAAGTATTACGAATAATTAAATATATAAATAATAACATATTTATATAATAATTTTAATGTTGCTTTTTTGTCTGATTATTTATAAATTATTATTTATAAAAATAACAATTGTATTCTCTTTTATTTTGTAGTCTTTGGAAAATTCCATTGCTGGACTGAAGATAGTTTAAGGAATACTTTTTTTTACAAAACCAAGATTAAAGGTATATGAAATTGAAGAGTGTATAATATTGAAATAAATCGTACATTAATCCTGCTAATTTTATTCTTGCTCCTGTTCAACTGAAAACTTTAATATACGGTATAAAATACATGAAAGTGTGTTGTAAAGTGCATTATCAGAAAGCAATAAACAAATAACAAATACAGTTATTATTGATATTATATTGTTATTGATTTATTTATAGATATTGGTTAGAAATATTTAATTGATTATGTACGTAATAATTTGTTGAAAGATAAAAAATAAGAGTGAGAAGAAGAGTTGAATTATGTACATAAAAATAAATATTATGAGTTTTAATAAAAGTGGTAAAAAAACGAGAACAAAAAAATACAAAGACATTTTGAATTGATTAAAATATAAAACACACATATGTATATATATATATATATGTGTGTGTTGTGTGTGTGTATATATAAATTATATAGAAACATGATAATATCGATTAATTTTGACTATAAATAAATTATTCTTTTATTTCTCTTTTAATCGGTCCTACGTTTTAAAATTTTTAATAGATTTTGTTGAATTATTGTAATATCAAAATCTATCTTAAGAAATTGTAATCAATGGCCGCGTTATAATATCCTACATAATTCTTATAGGCTATAGTTATTGTTAGTTACAATGCATTGAACATGGCGGAACTCACGGACCAGCCAGTGGATAGTCATGTCTCGTGTAAAATTTTGATCATCGGAGCGGGCATGGCCGGATTGTCTGCCGCAAATCATTTACTTAAAAATAGTGAAACAGATTTTCTTATTGTTGAAGCAAGAGGACGTATAGGTGGCCGAATTATAGCAACACAAATTGGTATGGTTGAATTAACCTCTATCTTAACGTACGTTGACAATCAATAAAGTCTTTTACTTTTGTATAAATTTGATATTTGAACTAATTTTGAATATTGATTCTTACAATTTCATAAGTCAAATTATCATTCGTAATAAGTATAAATGTTTCATTTAATTATATCATTTCATACTGGATAAAATATATTGTTTTTCTTTCTTATTAAATAATAATAATTTTCATCGCATTTGTGATAGCATATTACTATTGTTATAAAAATCTTATTGGTAATATACACACATATATATATATATATATATGCTTATAAAACAACTACAATGAATACTTCTGAATATATTTCCAGGCATAATAAATTCTTTGATTTTTAGTCTCCTCATATTTATATTATTTTTGTATTGTTTTAATTTAGGAAATGAAAAAATTGAACTTGGAGCAAACTGGATTCATGGAGTTTTGGGAAATCCTCTTTTTGAATTAGCAATGGCAAATGGATTGATAGATATCATAAATATACCCAAACCACATAGAGTTATAGCTGCTATGGAAGATGGAAAACAATTACCATTTCCAGTTTTACAAGAAATCTATGAAGCCTATGTGTGTTTTTTAAGACGTTGTGAAGAATATTTCTTAAGTGCTTATAATCCACCAGATGGTATAAATAGTGTTGGAGCACATGTGGCGCTTGAAACTGATATATATTTGTCATCTTTACCAGTTGAACAGAGAAGAATAAGACAGTTACTTTTCGATTGTTTGCTTAAGAGAGAAACTTGTATTACTGGCTGTGATAATATGGAAGAGGTCGATCTTATGGAAATGGGATCTTACGCTGAACTACAAGGTGGCAATATCCGTCTTCGAAATGGATATAGTGCAATATTGGAGCCAATTACAAAACATATACCAAAGAACTGTATACTTACTAAACACGTTGTTACCAAAATTAGGTAAATTATTAGATCCCTTTTCTACATTAATATATGTATTTTTAATACTCAAATATTTCATAGTTTTTACAAATATTTATTTTTAATAGAGCTTTAGTCGATTTTAAAATGTCTTTTTCTTTTTTTTTTTTTTTTTAAACAAGAAAGCAATTTAAAACTTTAGTTTTATTATACTTATTAATTCTTTATATTTTATTTTAAATATAAAAGTTATACATATATATATATTTTTTAAGAACATTATGGATATTGGCTTTGTAATGATTTTATATTATATGTTTTTTTTAAATGATCTTTTTATAATTTAATATTTATGTTTACTCTTATGCAATAATCTCAATGAAGTTGTTGATAAAAAAACAAAGTATGTTTATATGCTAATCATAATTACAGATGGCAAAAACAGGAATGTGAGAATGAAACATCTGATGTAGCAACAAATAACTCTAGTAGAAATAAGGTTATAGAAATTCAATGTGAAAATGGAAAAATGATAACTGCAGAACATATAATATGTACATTGCCTTTAGGAGTTCTTAAAAAAAAGGCTAATGATATTTTTGAGCCGCCCTTACCAGATAATAAACTCCAAGCAATAAATAGACTTATGTTTGGTACTGTAGATAAAATATTTTTAGAATACGAAAGGCCTTTTTTAAATCCAGGAATATCTGAAGTTATGCTTCTTTGGGACGATAGAGGATTGTCAGAAGACGACAGACAAGATTTAAGTAAAACATGGTTTAGAAAAATATATTCTTTTATTAAAATATCAGATACACTTCTTCTTGGTTGGATATCAGGAAAGGCTGCAGAATATATGGAACAATTAAGTACAACCGAGGTATCAGAAGTATGCACATCAATTTTAAGGCGATTTTTAAACGATCCATTTGTACCAGCTCCAAAGCATTGCTTACGTACTACTTGGAATTCTCAGCCGTTTACATGTGGTTCTTATACATCTATGGCCGTTGGTGCAAGTCAAATAGATATCAAGAATTTAGCTGAACCATTGATACTGCAAGATCAGCCTTCCAAAATTATGATAACATTTGCTGGCGAGCACACACATTCTTCGTTTTACAGTACTGTACATGGTGCATATTTAACAGGCCGTACTGCAGCTCAATTGTTACTCGAATCAAGAAGAAGTGAACAAAATCATATAAGTCTTAGTTGTGAAAGTACTAGCGATCTTAGCTCATGGATTCAAGGAATATCTTTAACTTAAAATTAAAAATTTTATATATATATATATATATATATATGTATATGTATATGTATATATAATATTTTGTTTCCAGACAAGAGCATTTTGTGTATTGCTTGAAAAAAAGTAATCAATACTTAGTCATTTATGATGAAGGTGGATCGCTTAATCTAACACTTCGAAAAAAAACAGTAATTATATAAAGTAACAATCTTAGTTATAATTTTAATCTATGTGCATGTTAAACAATTTTTAAAACGATATAATTTTTAAATATCAAAATTATCTTTCCTAACAAATTATATTTTTTAGAATTTATCGATTTATTTAAAAAATTGCATGTTATGTTTTTCTTAAGAGAGAGTGTTATGCTTTGTTTGTTTTGTATAAATGAAAAAAGAAGTGATGCATTTAAAAAAAAAAAAAAAAAAAAAAAAAAAAAAAAGAAAAAAAAATCGTAGATCGTATTATGACTGATTTAGGAATATTATGCACAATGTATATTTTACTAATTTAAAATCTGTTATTGATGCTTGTCAGAATATTTTCTCTCAATCATCTTCAAATAATAGTATTTTTAATGATAGCTTTTATATAACTATAAACAATTGAGCACATTTTATTTCAAATTATTTAAATTATGTGCTCGTTATTAATACTGTATGTATGTACAATTGATGATATAGCATTTTTATTTTATTAGTAAATTGATTTAAGAAATTAATATATTATAGTAATTCCTAAACTATGCAAGATCACCATTGTAAACTTAATAATGTAATTTATCATTGTAAATGTTCGTTTTATAATAGCTTTTATTTTCATTGAATTTATTTCTGTATTCGTACTGGCTCGCTTATGAACGATGTTAAAAGATCAAAAAGTCTCTTAAAAAAAAACAAAAACAAAAAAAAACAAAAAAAAAAGAAGAAAAAAAACTGCATTTTTACGGTATATATATATATATACATATAAATTAATCTAAACGATACACAATTTCACTACAGAAAATTTTGTGCCATATTGTGTTCCTTTTCATTGTGCCTATATTTGTAATAGAATGAAAAAAATATAAAATGTAAACAATTAAAAATTGGAAAAAGAGACGAACGAACAATTGTCAGGCGCAAACAATTTGGCGAATACGAAATTATTATATTTCATTAAATTTCAAATCATGATTAATTTTTATGAAATAATGTAAATTTAATTAAACATCACGTATTGTATATATAATAAAAAAAAAGATTATTTATAATATTATTATTTTATTTCTCTTATATGTAAATGCTTTTAAACAGTTACGTTTATGAGATATAAAAATTATCGTATCAACGATAGTTTTCGATAAATAATAATCATAGAAAAAATAGATGAATATTATAATTGAGAATATAATCTCCTATGCAAGTATTTTCGAAATCTAGTCAATTTTTTGTATTATCTATTCTGTAGATAAAAAAAATCGACGATTATAAACAAGTCGATTTGGAATCAATATTTTAAAATATTATTAATGAAGTAGCTATTATAAAATTTATAATATTCATTGTTATACTATTATAATATCGTTTATGCGTAACCATGTATAGTGTGATATAAAAATAAGAGAAAAAAATAGGGATAAAAAAGTTCTATATTATAAATTTATGATAAATTTTATCTGTATAGAAAAAATTAAATCTATTGCAAATTTAAAATATAAAAGCTTTTTTACTCAATAGGTAACTTATCGACTGATAATAACGTACCGACACCTATTATTTATACAGTCATGCAATTACATTAATAGCGTACTTAAAAGCTATGTAAAATAATGTAATATATAACATTTTTAATGTACGTAATGAACATATTCTTACAATAAAGATTACTTTTTCTGTCAATATACTTACGTGTAAATTAATTTGTATTACCTCCTCATACATTCTATTTTCCCGATATTCAATTCAATTTTCGAGAGAAATTTTGTATCCCACCTCTTCGCGCATCATGTGATCCTAATACAAATTCAGATTTTGCGGGAAAAATTGTCGCGCTTCTCCGTAATTTGATTTTTCGAACCGGAGAACATAACTTACCTGGAGGTAGCACGGTTTTCACGTGCCACCTCTTCGCGCATCATGTGATCCTAATACAAATTCAGATTTTGCGGGAAAAATTGTCGCGCTTCTCCGTAATTGGATTTTTCGAATCGGAGAACATAACTTACCTGGAGGTAGCACGGTTTTCACGTGCCACCTCTTCGCGCATCATGTGATCCTAATACAAATTCAGATTTTGCGGGAAAAATTGTCGCGCTTCCCCGTAATTTGATTTTTCGAACCGGAGAACATAAGTTATATGTTGGGACAATTTTGGAAGTATGATGGGAGAATGACTGGGTTAATTTATAAGTACTCAAATTTTTATATAATATTAAATTTTTATTTTTAACTCTAATAAAATTACATTGATATAGTCTTATTAATAATTTACGCATACAACTAAATCTAAAATTGTCAGCTTATAAATAAAACTATTAACTTTAATATAATACATTTCTTTAGATTCATATAGTTGTCTTCCTTGTCCATAAAATTTTGGCATTTTAAGAATAAGTAAATGATGTGAATCCTATTAATTGCCGTAAAGTATTCAGATAAGATTATTCTCATCCAGGTTCGCCGATGATTTATTTACGTATTCTTTATCACATTTTTGTGTGCTACATTTCTTGCTTATGATGATTCCTGAAAAACAAACATTTATTGTATTAGATTTCTGTTTCATTTGATATGACGAAGAAAATATGATAAATAGATGGACTGAGAAAAAAAACCAGATTTATAGGAGAAATACCAGAGGGCTCTAGTGTATTATAATGGGGAGAATCCACGAGTTACAATAGAAATTTCCTAGATTTTTAATCGATAGTCGGTCTAGTTTTTCTATAAAATGAAACTCCTTGCTTGGATAATCGACTAGATCTATAATTCTTATTCCAGAGAGGAGTTCTTTACTCGATCGGTAAACCACGTACTTTGTTAGGCGGTTGAATACTGCCATTTAATTTTTTCGTTCGCCGAATGCAAATGAAACGCTATAAGCTCGTAACAATTCGAATTGCCGACGGAAATGATAAAATCTTGTTACTAATGACGATAAGAATTATTACGTTACGTCTAATCATTGACACTTCGAGTTTTGAAGTAAATTGAAGTGGGAAACGAGTTCTTACAAATCGTATTAAATTATCTATGCTCGTTTTTTTTTTTTTATTGCCAATTATGACGAACGATTTCCAAACGATTAAACCGAAAAACATGAATTATTCAAAAATAGATCCTCGAGATAATTATGCATGACTTTTGACCTTTCAATTATTCTCTTTACAATTCGATTGAAGTACTATCAAAAGTGCATTATAAACGACGTAAATTACACATGCATGTAACGAATGTAACACGTTGAAGTGTCGTGTAATATTGAGTATCGTGTAATACTAAAAAAAAAAAAAAAAAAAAAAAAAAAAAGAAACGAAAGAAAAAGAAATCAGGAGGAAAGAAACAGAATAAAATGAACAAAACTAAAAGTGTATTTTTATGATTACTATTCGAAATCTAAGAAAAAGTGAGAAAGAGAGAGAGAGAGAGAGAGAGAGAGAGAGAGAGAGAGAGAGAGAGAGAGACACAGAGCTAAAAAGCAAAGGGAGAATGAAAGACAAAATGATATAGAGAGAAAGAGAGAGAGAGAGAGAGAGAGAGAGAGAGAGAGAGAGAAAGAGTATTCGGATCAACAAGTGTCGAGCTTCCCCCGAAGTGTGTATAAGAAGAGCAAAGAGGAATGCGGCTCCACCATTCGTAGTTATATTGATGCCAGTCGGGTTGCCGGTAGCGCAGGCGCGAAAACGCGAGTGGATTGGTACGCGAACGGGCGGGGGTTCCACGACGAAATGGTCGATATTTTAGCTATAGTAGGCTATAGTGGCGCGAGGCTCTTTCCCGAGGCCAGTCCTAGTCCAGTCTCTCTTTATAATTGTCGCGAAAGAAAGGGCCGCACGCACACATATCGATAGAGAGAAAGAGATAGAGCAAGCGAGAGAGAGAGAGAGAGAGAGAGAGCGAGAGAGAGCGAGAGAGAGAGAGAGAGAAAAAGAGAAAGAAAGAGACAGCTGACATAACTAATCGAGATAAGAAGAAAGATAGAAAGCAAGTAAGAAAGCAAGAGAGAGAGAGAAAGAGAGAGAGAGAGAGTGCGTGCAAAAGAAAAGAAAGATATATCGGTCCTCCCTCTTATCGCGATAAATCGAATCTCGATCTCCATCGTGATTCGTCGTCTTTCTCTTAATAGAGTGATTAAACAAAGTGCAAACGGTAGCCTGTGTTGGATCCTTGACGTCAGAGCAGCAACCCCGTATCGTTCAAGGATACATCGTCTTCGTAGAAGGTACGAGCCGATGGAAAACTTACAACTTCTATTTTTCTTTAGAAAGAGTTAAATCGGCAGAGAGAGAGAGAGAGAGAGAGAAAGAAATTGATAGATAGATATATAGATAGAGAGAGGGAGAGAGAGAGAGAGAGAGAGAGAGAGAGAGAGAAAGAGAGAGGGAGAGAAAAATCGAAAGAGAGTTTTGCTATCAAAATTACTTATTTCGTGTTTGAAGGAAAGGCTTGTCGATAGGCGTGCTTATTGATTTCCCTCGTTCTCTCTCTCTCTCTCTCTCTCTCTCTCTCTCTTTCTCTCTCTATCTATCTGTCTCTCTTACTCCCTTCTCTCTCTTTCTCTCTTTATCTCTATCTTCCCCTTCTCTTTCTATCTTTCTATCTGTCTGTCTGTCTATCTGTCTGTCTGTCTGTCTGTCTGTATGTCTCTTTCTCTTTCTCTTTCCCTTTCTCTTCTCTTTCGTCATTTCCCTATTTGTTCTCTCTTATTACCAGGGACGATAAAAGCTGCGGGTATGTTCGTTCGTTCGTTCATTCGTTCGTTTGTTCATTCGATCAGAGAAAAAAATGACCCTGTGTTTTCCTTTTCCTTCATCTCTTTCCGTTTCCTACGTGGCGTCCATGTTTGTTACTTGCTAGAGTAACAGTACGGATGAGGTAGAGAGAGATAGATAGATAGAAAGAGAGGAGAGATAGAGAGAGAGAGAGAGAGAGAGAGAGCAAAAGAGTGTGTGTATGTGTGTGTGTGAGAAAGAGAGAAAGAGAGAGAGAGAGAGAGAGAGAGAGAGAGAGAGAGAGAGAGAGAGAGAGAGAGGTAGAAACAGTACAAGAGAGGGCGATAAACGAGTTGGAAAAGATGATCTTCTGATGAACGATTCAAATTATTCGATTGTAATTACGTTACATTTACGTATTTTACTCTTTTTCTATTTTCTTAAGCCATTGCTAGTAATCGTGACTGTCGAAGGGAGAAGGTCCAAGACACGATAAGGTCCATTTCCTGTTGGCCTGCTTTCTGTAATCAACCAGGAAGGTTGCCCTTGTAATTATAACTCCGTATAATTTCTTTCTCCCTCTTTTTACTTCCCTTTTGTTTTTCCCTTTTCCTTTCTCCTTCGTCCGTTCCTTCTTTCTCGTTTCACTTTTAACAATGTCGCCATCGCTCTCTCGGGGCTCGACGAACTTAGTTGCCATCAGCTGATCGATCGTTAATGCTCGTGAATTTGTCGGGGAAACGAAAGGATTGTCCATTACGTTATATGGAGAAATTTCTTAGACGAATGAAATAAATTAAATAAGATGAATTTATCATCTCTTATATAATAAATAATCTTATCGATTAATGTAGAATTGAAAATGTTAATGGTAAAACTGTTAATTTTCTTTTTTTGAAATCTTATTACATCAATCTCTCTCAAATCTATAATCTACATGTATATACATATAAATATACATATATATATATATATATATATATATATATATATATATATCATATATATTATTTTTCTCTTGCCCTACCAAACCGAGATTAGGTGTCACGCTCCAACCTATACGGAGGCTCCATCTTTCGCCGGTGCTTCCACAGACTACTGAAATCGAAACCGTATGGGTGGTACGGACCGGGCAGGGGGATGAGAATCGATCTTCCAAAAATATTTTATACCTTCCTACCCCTTAGGAATCAACGAGGTTGATAACGGACATATCTGTGTGTGTGTATATATATATATATATATGTATATATGTATGGATACATATCCATACACATGTATCTATCTATATAGATATGTATAATTATGGTATTCTTAGAGAAGTAACGATGGATGCATTCAAAAATACTTCAATGTTATCCTTCGATATTGATTATGATAAAAAGAAAAAAATGTTAAAGAGAAATGTAAAAACGTCTAATCGTTCGATTTCTTCGATTAAATCTTTTCGATTCTTTGAGATCTTTGAGAATCTAATAAGTCTCGATAATATTGTCGAAAGTATGATCTTCAAAATTTATCATTTGATCTTTTTATTGTACGTTAAAACGACGTTCATATCTTTACCTTAAACATCTCTCTAATTAAATGTATACTCCTACAATTCTCGTATAATTCTCTCATCAACAGTTTAACAATTTCTGCTAACTTATATGCATTCATATTATATATAATGTAAATATATACAGTCTCCCGTATATATTTATTTATAATGAGAAAAACGTTGAAAGAATTTCTTGAAGAAATATTTTGATTATATATTTACGTTCGAATACATTTAAACGTTTAACATTATTATTTATTTAATATTTCGCACGAAATGCATAGTTGCGGTTAAATAAAATTTTAATTAACTCATACGCGAATGAAGATAACGTTTGACGATAACGTTTCTATGTTGTAGTGTTAATAAAAAAGAAAAAATAAAACTTCTCACTCTCTCTCTCTCTCTCTCTCTCTCTCTCTCTGTCTGTCTGTCTGTCTCTATCTCTCTTTCTCACTTTATTACTGTGATAGAAGAAATTACGTTAGTTTCAAGAAAGTTTTGAACTTAGAAAATTGGATCACGATATTACTTCTTTGATGAAGGAAGCTTAAATAGGAATGATATAAAAAATTAAAAAAGAAAAAAAAAAAGAAATTACATCATGTCAATATCAAAGATTATATATTATATGGATATATATCATATGTATACATATGTTTTATTAATATTATCGTTAATATAAGAATGAAAATTGATAAAGATTATTATAATTAAGTATACGTACGTCAAAATATATGATACGAACAGACGATATCATTATCATGGACCTTGTCCTGGTTTCTACGATCGTTCCATTTTAACCTACGAGAGATCCTGTTTGCGCGAACGAACCTTACCATGGACTCTACCTTTCTTTCATCCGAATAAATAAAAAAGAAATTCCATTATGTATATATATATATATATATATATATATATATATCTCGTCGAAAAATATTTACGTTTAATATAATCCAATGATCAAATAATAGAAAATTGAATTCTATCCCGATTGATAAAACTCATCTTACGACATTAATTATAGACGGATTAAATAATAAATTTGATTGTTTTTTGTGTCAATAAAAAAAAACTTAATAAACGGTTTTTACTTTTTTTTTTTTTCCTTCTTTTTTTTTCTGTAACGTTAACAAATATTAGATATATTAAAATTCGAAGATGAAATGAAATAAGGATGTCTATAGTCAAAGAAGAATCTTGAATGTATCTGGAGTAACTTTACTGTCGTTCGAGTATAGTACGATCGATAAAATCCCTTCCACTGATCTAAAAACTTGTCCATCGTCTGTTCAACCCCTTCTGCGATCGTTTATTTATAGTGATCGTGATCGCCGACATCGGCTATCTCAGACGACGAATTGTTCTCTTGCCATTCAAGAAAGAGAGCGAGGGAGAGAGAGAGAGAGAGAGAGAGAGAGAGAGAGAGAGAAGAAAAGATGCTTTTTTTTTCTAAAGAGAGATTCAATCGAAACGTCAAAAGCTAATGGATCAATAAAGCGAAACATAGGATATAACCAACGCCATTTTATCAAGGCAATTGTAATTGGCAATTTAAAGAGATCTCGTATAACGTACTATTATTTCTTATTCTCTACTAAAGCTTCCTTCATTTAATTTCACTTCTTTAAAGCACAAGTCTTTCTAAGAACGTCTGCACAAGTGTCAATTCGAAATGATAAATCGATGTAGTTTTATTACCTCGAAAAATTTTCCTATTAACTCGAAACTTATGCAACTACGTATATATGTATACATATACATATATATATATATATATATATATATATATATATATATTTTTACGATATTTACTACTAAAATTTTTTATTGTTTTTATATTGTTCTTTCTTGTCTCCTTTTTTATTTTTTTCTTTTTTTTCTTCTTTTCCTTTTTTTTCTTTGAAAATTCCTCGAACTTGACATAACGAAACCGTATTCATTATTACAAAATTAATCGTTCCTTTCTAATATTAATCGTCATTTGTTCCTCTAGTTCATTATTTCTATTCGTTCGAGTAACTAAGGTATCGTAGATATAATTTATACGAGTGTTGCATGTAAAATTTACGTATTCACACTGACGCCTATGTGTATCTTTAGATAAATGCATACATACACATATATACATGCATTCTTATCGTAAAACACGTTTCGATTCTGGTCTAGTGTACGAACAGAAGAATGAGAAATAGCAATGTTAAACGTCATCAAAGAAATGGTCGTGGTCAACGATAGCGTATGAATGAATTTTCCTTGCGAAAGATTACGCGAAACTGGGTCATTGGGTATACTTGACCGTTCTAACGCATAAATACTCCTACATGCTTACACACACACACATATATATATATATATAGATATATATTATATGTACATATATATTATGGTTATTACTCTTTTTTTCCGACAAAACAAAAGGAATTAATTATTTATTTGTGTAACAATCTTAAATCAAAATGACATGGAATACAATAGAAAATTATTCCATTAAGAGAAATCTAAGGGAATCGTAACGATTGGTCGGACTAAAAGAAAATGGAAAAGGAAAAGAGAAAAAGAAAAAAAAGAAAAAAGAAAAAAAGAGAGGAAATGGAACACCAATGTATATGTAGAAATACGATGGATAACATGTGACATAAAGAGTAGCGGAAAATAAAGGCTTATACGTATTTACCAAGTATGTTGTTCCATGCAGGAACGAACGAACGAATGAACGATGTCGTCTTGTTACAAAAAGATCCGTGGTCGAAACAAACGGCGGGGGACAAGAAAACCGCAGAAGTCGCCACGTCGTCGTGAACTCGAAAACATGTCTATTGTTATATACATATATAAATATACATAAAAGTCTACATTACTTAATATATATATATATATACATACATATATATATATATATATATATATATATATTCACGGATTTGTGAAGATGGAGCATTGAAGCAAAATAGAAGAGAAGAAAATAAAAGTAAAATAAAGAAGAAAAAACAAAGAGAGAGAGAGAGAGAGAGAGAGAGAGAAAGAGAGAGAGAATAAGGGCGTGATGATACGTATTTGTCTTGGATCTGTCGAGCTCGAAAAATTTTTCCCTACATTGGGATTCATTCGCATGATAGACCGTCGTTGAAAAAGAAAAAAAAGAAGGAGTGAGAGAGAGAGAGAGAGAGAGAGAGAGAGAGAGAGTAAAAAGTAGAAAAGAAAAATAAGAAAAAGAAAGGAGAAAAAACATTGTGAAAAGTGGTGATTGTAGTATTGGTATTGGTGCTGGTGGAGAGTGGTAATGGTCAAAGGGCATCAGAAGGGCTCGTCGTCCAAAGCATCACCCATTAAGGACTCCGTTTTGGTTTTACGTACGCGTATGGCCCGAATGATATCCATTGTCGAGATTACTTCGCCGAACCAACGTCCGGTACCGCGATATCCTTGTTTATTTATCTATTAATATATTAATTTGTTAATCTATCTTAATATTTATCATATATTAATCTATATATCTATTTATATATTTATATGTATTTAATTCTCGTCTTTCTCCGTTCAAAATTTAATTTTAATATATACTCAATGTTATCTTTATTTATTCGCATTTTTTATACTTTCTTCTTATTACATACGGATATACTTATGTCATAAAGTTTAGATCATTTTGGATGAGAGAGATGAAATTGATTATATTTAAATGAGATGATCTTTTTTTTTTTTTTCATCAATTTTAACACATTTTCTCTGACGATCGATCTTCTCGGAAAGAGAGTGCGCGCGAAAGAGAGAGAGAGAGACAGAGAAAGAGAGAGAGAAAGAGAGAGAGAGACAGATAGAGAGAGAGAGAGAGATCGTCCTTGGTCCTTTTTTTGGCATCGAGGTCGTGGAAAGAGAGAAACGCATCGGGTCACGGTTCCTTCGGGAAATGAACATAAACCAGAGGGAAAATCGTTTTCTATTCTTAGCTTTTCTGTCGAAGCTATCCGGTAGCTCATTAAAAAAAATCTGCGTCTGTGGGTAGAAAGACGACGTTTCTGGCTTATCTCTCTCTTTTTCTCTTTCTCTCTCTCTCTCTCTCTCTCTCTCTCTCTTTTTCTCTCTTGCTAGAAATTTCAACAATGTCGTAGTAAGAATTAACAGATGATCCTGGACTCTAAGGAATTTCTTAACATATTCTATAGCTTAATAATCTTTACTTTTGTACGTGTGCGTGTATATGTGTGCGTGTGTGCATAACTATCTTTATTTACTCATATATCTAATTACATTATCCTACATCAGTGTTATATTAGAAGTATACTGTCTCAGAGGCAACCAATTGATACATGGATTCCTTTGAAATAATATTTCTACGATTGAAGAGTTATTGTCGTTGCATTGTCTGCTTTGATAAGGAAAACCCAGCGATCATTATCAATATATATATATATATATATATATATATATATATGCATTGTATGTTTAAAGGGCATCCATGCATTGTACGTCGTAAAGGGCTCAAAGGAACGAGAAACAATAGCGATGCTAGAGAAAGAGAAAGAGAGAGACAGAGAGAGAGAGAGGGAGAGAGAGAGAGAGAGAGAGAGAGAGTGAGATTGCGAATAGTTTCATATCGAGCTTATCTTAGGTGTTACATAGCCACATTTCCCGGCGAACACGTGTAAAACGACGATAGGAAAGATCGTAGATTTCGTCCAAGTATTCCATTATAGAATCATCTGTTGCATTTAGCTTTTACTACTCGTTCACGAAACGCATTGCATTGCAACAAAGCGTTTCACAATTATTTCCCATTATTTAGGATTATCACGTGTTTCAGAGAGAGAGAGAGAGAGAGAGAGAGAGAGAGAGAGAGAGAGAGAGAGAGAGAGAGAGAGAGAGGGAGAGAGAGATAAGCAAAAATTGAAATTTTTGATTTTATTATACATTTATGATTCCGACACGTAAAAGAGATATTTCCATTCGATCGAAAATATATTTACAATTCGCAAAATAGATACAAATGTAAAAACCTGTAATATGTATATATATATATGTATTTATTTATTTATTTATTTATTTATTTATTTATTTATTTATTTATTTATTTATTTATTTATTTATTTATTTGTTTGTTTATTTATTTATTTTTTTATTCTTTCCAGATGGCGAGCCAAGATCCAAAGTGGCAGAAGGATGCCGCGGATCAGAACTTCGATTACATGTTCAAACTTTTAATAATCGGCAACTCGTCGGTCGGTAAAACCTCTTTTCTCTTCCGTTATGCGGACGATTCCTTCACCTCGGCCTTCGTGTCGACCGTGGGAATCGACTTTAAAGTGAAAACGGTCTTCAGGAACGATAAAAGGGTCAAGCTACAAATCTGGGTCAGTATAATCGCTATACCTTTGTAATACGTAATACTTTGGTAAACGTAATATACACTGCATTCGAATATCTATATATTTGTTTCGTCGTATATGTAAATATATATATATATAGACTGGTATGTAGACACACATGTACACGTATAAATGCACATTGCATACATGTTTGGTTTTGCATATTATTGATGCTTTCAAAGCAATAACGCGCATTTGTCGTATACCTATGACATCATATATGTATATATATATATATATATATATATATATATATATATTGTATATACATATATTATATATTATATATTATATATTATATATTATATATATATATTTAGATTGAACTTTATCCGCAATACTCGACTTCAGTTAAACATAACTAAGTAGCGAAGTAAAAGGAAAATTATGGCGAGAAGCCGGTCAAAGCTTTATTAACTTTAGTTCTTTATTTCCGAGCGATTTTAATAAAAGAAAAAAAAAAATAAAGGCATGATATACAGAAATACGGCTAAAGTTTTTTTTTTTTCTTTTTTTTCTCTTTTTTGTAAAATTTTATGATTTTCATAATTGTTTGTATAAAGCAATTTATTCGCAAAATTGCCTAAATCTACGTGCCCTACGTTCATATATATATCTTTGAGTGTTATATGAAAGTTAATAATATTGATTATAAACATTGTTTCAGGACACGGCCGGTCAAGAAAGATACAGGACGATCACAACGGCCTATTATAGAGGCGCAA